GAAATTGATCAGTCCAAGGTACATTCGTTAGCTTGCTTAAATAAGCACCAAACATAAGCTTCATATGTTTTTAAATCTAAAATTGAACTTGTTTGGGCCATTCAGAAAGTTCCATACCGATTCGCACGCTGAATTATGAGATTTTGGTCCTAATTGGGATACTTCACACACTGACCAAATCATTACCAATATATGTGGACCTATTTTTCCATTCTATTTAGCTTTTATTTTACTTTTTACATAGCTGCGTAGTAAGGCTCTATAGATCTTATTAGTATACTGTAATTCTTCTCACACACACACACACACACACACACACACACACACACACACACACATATATATATGTATATATACATTTGTGTTCCCTGTTTTTGTAATATTGTTGTTTCAACTTCATTTTGTTAATATTTGATAATGTTGTCTTTGGGCAGATCGGTACATTGAAAAGTGATATTTTGAAGCTTTTTGACAGTGTTGAGAAATATGGTATGTGGTTTTTTTCCCAACATTAGATGTCTTCTTATTTCTTTCTTTTTTTTAATATATTTTTCATCTCTTGCTTTGTAAGTTGTAAATAGTTTTCAGACCCACATATGTAATCTAAATTTGCATAATATTTTTCAATTCATGGTTCATGACCTTATTTGAAGTTTTAAATCAACACATTTTACCAGGGCTGTGGTGCAAAAACGTTGGTGATGATGGGTCATAATTTGGGTCAGGTGGATTTAATAGCATCTCTTGTCGGGATGGGATCATGGAACTTTTTTTTTTGTAGTAACCCAAGGAAGTTTGGCATGATAAGGATGGGTTTGTTAGCCTGCATGCATTTTGATGTATATGTGTGTTTGTGCATTTCTGTGAAACACGATGTGTCATTGAAGTTTGAATGCACAACACAACCTTGCCTAAGTTTAAAACATGTTGATTAATATTCTTCCGGCCCTGCTTTCAGTTTGGTTTTGTCATTTCATTTTCTGGTTAGCTGCTATTTTAATAAAATATGTAACTACATTCTCTAGATGATGGGGCCATGTACTTTGATGAAAAAGTTGTTGATCTGCGTGAGCGTCAGAGTCCTCTATCAACTACTGCGTCAGTTGTTCGAGGACTGACAGCATTTGCAGCTGTGACATCTGGAAACATAAAGGTGACTGGAAGCATACTCAATGTTGCGTTCTTTCCTGCTCTTCTGTTACAAATGCATTTTCTTTTGGGAGGGGGGGGTGGTGGGCGGTTGGAATGCATACTAATGCTTTAGATTTGAGTTTGCAGGTTCCAGGGGACAAAATATTGGGTCTGGCAAAATTCTTCCTTGGAATTGGCATTCCCGGCAAAGCTAAAGACTTCTTCAACCAAGTGGACTCATTAGCTTCTTTGGAAAGCAATAAGTAAGTTCTATTTCTTCTTCTTTGATTGAATTACATCTCCAATTATTTTTCATTATGTCACTGTGTACTGCAGCTTTTTAAATTCTACTTTTAATTTATTGTCTACTAAATTTTGGTTGTTACTTTTCTGGTGCAGGGTTGCTATCCCACTGATTTTATCACTTCCAGCTACAGTGCTTTCATTGACCAAAAAAGACCAGCTCCAGGTTTGTCAATTAATCAACACAGTATTTCTTCTTTGTAGATGAGTGTTGAATCATCAATTATTCCTCTTTTCTTTTCCTTCTTCTTGTGAGGTAGATATTTGAATTGAGCAAAAGTTGTATTGTTTTCTAACTTTATGCATAGCTATGTCTATATATATTAAGTCTTGTGAAATCTGCACTGTTTTCTTTTTCCTCAAGCTGACTATCTTTGTTTTCTTTTTAAAACGCCAAGCTCCTCAGTTATGATTGTATTATTTTCTAACATTTTGATCTGCACATATTCGGTATTGCATCAGCCTGCTGTGGATTAATTATTTTATTGAGGAAAATATAGAGTTAACAAGTAATGTTGTTTATGCCAAATTGCATACTTTGGTTAATTTAAGTGTGTTGGTTTGTACTTTCAAAATTTTAATCAGGTTAAAGTGAATACTGTGCTTGGTTCAAGTGCACCTCCTCTGACAGTTAAGTTGGTGCGAGCATTGAGTTCTGGTTCGAAAGTTGCTTCCACAATTGAAAGCCAGGTAATAACTTTTTTTCTCTTGTTGTATCTAGTTTATCTGCAGTTCAATAGTCACACATATCCTTCCTCTGAAAAGATTAGTTTTATTTATCCTCTTCTGACAAATTGATTGCATGAATGGCATCTGGTTCAATGCCTTATAATGTGTGTGATGTAGGAACTCAAGTTTGACAAAGAAAGTGAATCCCATTTCTTGGATGTGTCAAAAAGTGTCGATGTTGGAAATTACATATTTGTCTTTGAGGTACTCTTAATTTCTTTGGTAAATTTTACATTTAGACTAGCTTCCATTTGGCTCTCAATTTGTAATGAGTTAACAAAACTTTTTGTAGGTTGTTCTGCATGATTCTGAAGATGAAATAGTTTATGCAACTGGAGGCTCTACTCAAGTGCAGATATTTGTCACAGGAGTTATCAAAATTGAAAATGCAGAGATTGTTGTACTGGATAGTGATGTTGGGAGCATAGAAACCCAGAAAAAGTACGTGCTTGAAATTTTTTATGGTTCATGTTTCCAGCTTTAGTTTATGTTCTTCCTTTGGAAGTTGGATGCTTGTAATCACAAACTCGTGTTTCACAATTGTTACATGTCCACAATTGTGCCTATTCCATTATAACACGTTCTAAAGCATATAAATCTTTTGTTACTTCTACATCATTCATTTACCAGACTAGATTTAGCTGGAGAAAATTCGCTCGCACTATCGGCAAACCACCTCCAAAGGCTGCGCCTATCCTTTCAATTGACCACTCCTTTTGGAAATGCTTTTAAGCCACATCAGGTTTGTAGTTCTCCATGCCTGCTGAGTTAACTTCTCTCTGTTCAGTTCAGTTCATTTAGAAGTTTGTGGGGCTGCAGGTATTTTTGAAGTTGAGACATGAGACCAAGGTTGAGCATATCTTTGTGGTGGGGAACTCCGGCAAAAAGTTTGAGATAATACTGGTAAGTGCTCCCTTGGAAACCTAGAATTTTAATTCACCTATTTAGCTGATACTCCTCATAAGCCCATGATTAATGTCTGAATACTTGAATAAAATGAATACTCAGTTTTCACCATCTTGGATGGATTACCCATTTTAATTCATTTGTTTTGCTAATTTTTGGTATTTTGTTTTTCAGGATTTTCTTGGATTGGTTGAGAAGTTTTACTATCTTTCAGGTAGTTATGACATTCAATTAACTGTTGGCGATGCTGTAATGGTAAGCATTACTTTAGCTCAGATTTTTCAAAATGTATATAATTTCTACCCTCTGATTATCTGAGGAATTTTTGTCTTCTCTTCCAGGAAAACTCTTTCTTCCGGGCTATTGGCCACATTGATTTGGATCTACCAGAAGCACCTGAAAAGGCATCCCGCCCTCCTACGCCGGCCATTGATCCTTACTCAAAATATGGCCCCAAAGCAGAGATAAGCCATATCTTTAGGGTTCCAGAAAAGCGTCCTTCTCAAGAGCTCTCTCTTATTTTCTTGGGTCTTGTGTTTTTGCCACTGATTGGATTTTTGGTTGGGGTGAGTATTTAGCGAATCCATATTACATTGTCATTTGGCTTAGAAATTTTTTACATTTTATGCTCTGATATCTCCCTTGGAAAATCCAAAGAGTTTAACTAGATTGTGCTGTTTATAAACAGACATTCTCTAGTGTACAAAAAGACCAAAAGAGATATTGGGGGGATGTCAACATTTTAAAATGTTTGCCTATTTTGTACTTTGATAGTGGAAAATCTTTGTTAACCTTATTTTATGTATTAAACAGCTATTACGCTTAGGGGTGAATCTGAAGAACTTCCCTACTTCAGCAATACCAGCCACCTTTGGTATCCTATTCCATGTCGGCATTGCAGCAGTTCTTTTGCTCTATGTGCTTTTCTGGTTGAAGGTATGCCGTTGATTTGTCTTTACTGTAACTTTTCGGAAGGTTCCTGTCTACATCACATTCCCAATGATCTGGACAATCCCATTTTTAAGCATTACAGGGTCACCTGTTCTAGAACGGGAAAATTACATTAGCATATATAGTATTTACAATAGTGAGATTTCAAAGTAATTATGTTATACACTTGCTGAAGAAGATTTTGGCTTTTCAATGCATTTTAAAGTAGATAGCATTTTTTTTACTTGCACATTGATTAAGCTTTTCAAACGGCTGGTCTGCTTACTAGTTTGTTCCCATGTACAGCTGGATCTATTTACGACACTGAAATGGGTTGGACTGTTGGGAGTTTTCTTGCTGTTTGTGGGACATAGGATTCTTTCCCATCAGGCCTCTACATCAGCCAAGTTGAAATCTGCTTGAAAGAAGACCGAAAAAACTTGAAGAAATCTCCCGTTTAGAGAAATCAAAAGGATGTTGGGCCTGAAAAGAGATACCAGAAAGATGAGGAGATTTTCCTTTGGAGAGAGAAACAGAGGGTGGCACTTTTTAGAACAATTTTGTAGGACTCCTTGTTATGTTATACCTGTACCTCTTACTTTAGAATTTTTATTACCCAGAACATAAAGTCATATATTTATTGCAAAATGAAGAAGTACCCACGTGCTTGGTATAACTTTGACATATCAAAGGTTCATTGCAAGGAACTGTGTCAAGTTACATCTCTTTTAATTATCATTTTTCTTTTTCTTTTTCTTTTTTGGTCTGAATTATCATTTTTCTTTTGCAGTCTCTTTTTATAATCTGCCTATAAAATGGGGATAAATTGGCTAAATCTTAACGGGTATGATTTATTCTGCCAGACTTGAGATCCGGCTTGATGAAAAGATTTGGTTTAGTTCTCTAATTACGTTCAAGTTAATCAACATGTCTATCCAATGGCGTAAATTGACCAAATTCTGAGAATTTGGATTCACCAAAACCTGTTGATAGCATTTTTATTGGCCTCTACATTTCTCCAATTAATGGCAGAAAGTGTATCTTACAATTTCCCAATGAATTATAAAATAGAATGAAAAACATATCGGTGACCTTTCTGTGTGCCAATTAGAGGAACAAAGAAAATTGTAAAAAAATTAAAACAGATCGAACATGAGCAAATGCAACAAAATTATAAATAAAACCAGCACCACCGAGGGCCAGTGAAATGCCGGGATCATATCGTGCTCAGGCTATTCTACATTCCTAAAGCTCTCGCTTGTACGCCAAATCTTTTTCTGGACGATAAACACTACGTCATCATCTTGCTCAGAGCCTCCCTCGGCATCAGCAGTGGCCACTGCTTCCCAGTGTAATGCCTTCATATATTTGCTTATGAACTCCACCATCTTCCGCTTGTCACGGAAAATGACGAAACCTTTGGGCCGGAGGATGCGATCCATCTCAATCAACAAATCTATGCCACTGCATCCTTTCCTTTCAATATCAGCGAAGACAGTCCATGCATGAAGCAGATCATAGGTTCGTGGGTAGGTTGAGAAAGCTTCACACCTGCCACAAGTTTGCAACCAATGAAGATATATCAATTTTTTTGAAGCAATGCTACAATTTCAAAGAAAGTTGATATCATGTCTATACGTAAGCCTGAGAACATCTCTAAAAACATTTTAAGGTAAAGATAAAAAACTGTATGTGGCAGCAATGGCAGCATAACTATATAGGTGGGAATTTCTGCAATACCTTCGAAACACCAACGGCCACCAAGGGTTTGAAAATCAAATATGTTTCTGATCAAACTTTTCATTAACTTATCAAAATTGTTAAACGTACCAACTGTGTACTGTGCCTATCAGCCCTCTGTCGTATATTATTTTAAGTGTGTTGGGTCCGTCTTCTGGCACCACATTCATAACCCAAACATCTTTGTTCTTCAAAGCAGCTGCAAATGAACCCAAGTTTGCCTTCATGTCCATCACATTCCTCAGTGTGTCAGAATTGATCTTTGGGCTCAAAAGATTCCAGTAACTGTCAACTCTTTGCTGCCAAACTTCCTGCATCACATCAATCCTGTTATATACCAAGTATTTGTATGTCTGTATTTTTGCAAACTAGGATATTACCCAGGCAGAGCAGACATGAGTTATGCACAGAAAAATCAAAAAACAAAAATTATGAAGATTACCATGTCCTTTTCAAATATATCATTAGAATAGCTGAAATCCCCAAGACGGGGAGGCGGTGAAGTCAATCGAGCAGGCCAAGGAGCCAAACCACTTCCTCTTGCTCTATGGTTTTCTGAAAAGAAAACACCAGCAAAATATATTTCAACTAATTAACTGACGTTATTACCACATATGATAATGCAACACAACAAGAGGACGCATATTAAAGTAAAAGCCAGTAGTGCTTGAATATTAAAGATATCTTTCTCTTGCCAAAATAGCCATACACAGAAAAGCTCTTGGTGCATGAAACATGATAATGTCTTTAGTAAAACACTTTTATTTGACATTATAACAGTCCGAAATCTTATGAGAGATGAGTGTTGGGTTGAGGGGAGTTGGGTTATGGTGCTTTCAAGTTGAAGACTGGCTAAAATGATACAATTTTTGAAAGAAAAAACATGATTAAAAAAAAACGACTATTTCAGTTCAGTTCATAAGGTGCAACTTTATACTGAAAAAAAATAAAATAAAAACGATATTAAATCACAAGATACCGCAAATATTATCAATCTACAGTTCCAGGTGAGTCTGTTTTCTAAATTAGTAGTTCTCAAATTCAATTAACTAAGATGTGATTGACTTGAAGAAAGTTCTGGCATGTTGCTTTGAGATTCCCCAAAACCACTAACAAAGCACAGAGATTATGGCAATAATTTAGAAAATGGAAGAAATAGTACTCACGGTCAGAGTATGGTGTGATACAAGCCTCCATTTTCACATTCCAGACAGCATCTGGATCATCATCTGATCTGCAGAGGGGTGGTCGAGTACCAGGCGCTCTTTCCATGTAACAGTCATTAGTCAATGGCTTGACCCAAATAACAGTTTGGTTCCTTTTAGCAGCTATTTTCCAACACATCCGTTCCACAAGCTCACTCATCGCTTTCCATATTCTCAGGTCCTCTTCATCCTGTGCATAGGCTTCAGGAGATGAGTAGGCAAAATAACCTCCTGGTCTCAGTACCCTATCCAACTCAAGGAGAAGTATCCCATCCCTTTGAAGCCAATCAATCCTACAGCGAGAACAATGTGCCAGTTCAAAAGATCTACTAGGATAAGGGAGTCTCTTGGTCCCCAAAACACCAAGGTATGCGGGAATCCCTCTCTCTAATGCAAACTGGATTTGATTTTGATGAACATCATTAGGTGCCAAGGACATTGCAATAATATCTGAAGAAAGCAGGTATCCTCCGAAACTAGCAACACCACAGCCAACATCAAGGACTGTCCTGACCTTTCCTCCATTATTTAAAATGTTCTTAGGAAAGTTGAGCATCTGCCAATCCAAACCAAAAGTAATCATTTTTTTATCATGAAAGAAAAAATTATAAACCTACACAATCACTAATGACTAGTTACTTTTCCCCCAGTATGAAGGGCCACTGACTTACATTAGCCATTGATGCAATGTACTTGTCAGCTCCATAATGGAAGTGAGTACCTCCTCCGGGAAATCCAATCTTTTCACCTTTGACAACCATCCACTTTTGGTCAGACTTCTCAGTTGCAAGATGCGTGTGAGGAATATTTGCTTTCCACACCTCGTCTCTGCTTTTAGGCCACTTGATTGGGATCTATTTCCATAAAAACAGATGAACAAATTCAGACTATAATTCAAGTCAAAGTTATGGTACAAAGTTTCCTCACTCAAAATTCCATTCGATATAAAGACTTAAGCAGGACCTCACCTTATATCCAGGTGGAGGTGGAATCAAACAATTATATCGCCTTTCAGGCAGTGGGCAGTGTCTCTCGTAATGCTCCATCACAGACAGATCCAACTTCAATCTTGTTTCGTAAATAAGGTTTCTGTCCAAGCAAGGAATGAGTTCTGAATGTCTATCATCACAAACCTGCAACATCAAAAACAGTCAGATTAAGACTTGGATTAGTTTAATATGTACATACATATATAAGAGAACTCAGACAAATTATTCATTAGTATAAAGTGAAATGACAGAGGAAAAGTCAGCCAGGACAACTGACCGGTATGCTCTTCAATATAATACCATCCTCTTCATCTTCACCAAGTCTGGAAGGTGACTCCTCAACATCTTCATCCACGCCCAAGTAAGTAGAGCCGAATTTTCTTATTTTACTGCCATACTCCAGCGCAGAGGAACCATTTCTTTTAGAATACAAATACAGGAGACCACAAATGGCCACCAAAACTAGAACTGAGGTGACCAAACGTTTCTTTGGGCTCCCATCAGCTCTTCCCCGCGACATTGTTGTAACCAATAGACAATTACCCCTCTACTTTGACTTCAACATGCAGAGTTCAAATCAAGCTACAAGATGCCAGGTCCAGTTTCACTGCAAAGGGATGATCAGCCAACGTACTTTAGATGCAGCTTCAATCACAAAAAGAAAGCTTCAACTTGTTAGTTCCAACTTAATGAACTAGGTACCCCTTAGATTACAGATGCAATGCCGGAACAGAAAGAAAATTATCCACGACGCAGCAATAATTCAAACCTCTAAACATTAACAAATAAGATTAAGACCATTCGATTCATCACTTCAAGTAAACCCCACAGAAGTCTATTTGGCTTTACTTTATTTTCCTAATAGGAAGGAAGAGAACCCTATAACTCAATTTAGTAAAACCGCAAGATTTGCAACAAAGAATCGATCATATTATAGGAAAAGGAAAAGGGTATTAACTGGTGATCTAAGATATTCTTTATTTCATTAATAAAAAAGAAAACCATAAAATAACAATTAAAAGGTAGTGGTTGATACTCACAATCCGGCACCAGACAAAAACCAAGTGAAACAAGTACAATAACAACTAAAACTCAATCACAGCACACTAGAAATGAATTCAAATCTGACCCAGTTCATTCAAAGAGGAACAAATCTGGAAAAAGTACCGGTACCTGATTTGCATACATAGAATAAATGTCTGAAATATAAATGGTATATAAACCAATGGCACCAAACAAAGCATAAGAGTGGAGAAGGAGGAGGGTAAAAGCGGGAAAATAAAAATGTAAACATTATCATAGGCTAAAGCACACCGACAGTTGACAGTTGCCAGCTATAAATGTGACACCTTGAACTTCAACAAACAAGAATTGACAGAGATTGATAAGACCCAGCTCGTGAAATCACAGAAAGGGTCGGCAATATTAACTCACACAGCTGAAAATGGTGGATTTGAATCTTATGCCGACATGAGAATTCTTACACATATAAGGCAAGATGGAGTTTTGGGCACACCAAAATCAGATCTTTATTCAAGAAACACAAACAGAACGAAAGTTGAAGATACATAAAATTGGACAAAACAAAGACTCAAAATTTTCAATATGGGCATTGCAGAAACAGAGCAAGTGAGATTGCACACTGTTAATGGATCTGAAGCGTACATGGGGCTCAATGTTCAATGAGGATTGTACAAAGGACGTACCTGCTTCAAAGATTGGGCTCACAGAGAGAGAGAGAGAGAGAGAGAGAGAGAGAGAGAGAGAATCTGAGATTGAGAGATGGGTCCTTACTGCTTATGAGTGAGCAGCATAAATACGGATATAAAGAATATTAATAACAATATGGGATTTGAGAATTTGACTGGGAGCGAGATCTATTCGAGTAATAAAAAAAGAGTGAGATCTAAAGACACTAACAGAGAGAGAGAGAGAGAGAATCAGGGAAGAGAGAACGCGGGTGACACGGTGACGGTGTGTAGAACACGACAGATACAGGTTGTCGTTTGGAGGCGACGAGTGAGAGTGGAATTGCATACGCGCTTTCCACACCTCACATGGGAAATTTTGGCGCATGAAAATGAAAGGCTTTGCCTTTTTAACCTTTTTTTTTGTGTGGAATAAATCATTGATGGCAAGTTGCAAGTGGCAGCTCTGGCCAAGAATGAAGATGGCAAGAAGAGCCCACAATCTTAATAGAGAGGTTAATATTCCATTACCATGAAGTGGGTTGGCAATTTACCAAAAAGAATTAAAGTAGGTAAAGTAATTTTAATATACCAACAAAAATTCAGTGGGAAAGCTTTCACCAAACCCTTCTTATTTCATAATCATATCATATATGACAAGATTTTGAAATTAGGTTTTTGGCACTTCTTCACTTTATCTTAATACCACCACTTGACAATTGAGTAGTTTGATGTTTTTTGTCAATGCATGACATTGAATTGGGATTTTTTTTATATTTTCTTACATAATCGTCTAGTGTTTTCTTATGTCGATCGCAACTGTTTAGTTTTGAGTTTATATATTATTGTTTTCACTATTTTTTTACATCTCTCAATTGAAGTTCATGACATTCTGGCTATAAATGCAAATGGCATGTAGTGGCCCTAGAGGACGAAGAACGAAATATAAACGAAACCACTTTACGTGGATTTTTGGTTCAATTATGGATCATCTTTTATAAAATCATTTTCAATAAAGCCTTTCCCTTTCAAACGGGATGTCGTTTTTGGTCAATTAAACTGTTATTTGTCGCGCGGTGAAAACGGTCAAAAACCAAACTTCACGAGCTCCTTCAACCGACATCTGCAAAGCTTCAAACTTTACGCAACCACCAACCAGAATCAGACAATTCATTTTAGGGTTTTTATACTTTCCCTAAAATCCCAAATCGAATTTCATCTCCCACCCATTAACCATGGCCAATAATATTTCAGAATCTTTGAAAGGTAAAAAGCGCGCGCGAGAGACAGATACCGAAGCCGAAGCCAGCGATTTCGATCAGATTTTATCGCTAGGTATATTCTCACTATTTCCACTATAAACAATTTATAAATAAACTTTACTATGTTTTACACTTTAATTGATCAGTTTTCAGTGATTGAAGATTATGAAAATAACTTCTTTATATTTGGTTAGTGAATAGTAATCAGAAAGTTAATATCTTTTGGCAAATGCAGAGGAAAATCTTACATTTAGTGACACATTGGTGGCGCTTCGCATAATGAGAGCTCAGTTTCCCCAGAGTGACAAGGTTAGGATTTTAAAGTTTTAATTTTGGTGTGATTGTTTTAGCTATCTTTCTACTTTGCTCTAAGCTGAATCACAAGCAGCTCAGCTCATTGAATAGTTGTGCATTGTGGTATCTTTATCTTTTTGTAGTGTCCCAAGTATTTCATACTGCTCAAAGTGGTGGTTAATCAGTCGTATTAGTTGTGGTCCTTTTATTTTTGTTTTTCTGAATATGGTTATTTGACTGATGCCTTCTTTTCCAGGTATCAGTTCAGCCTTTCATTTTGCGGTCACAGTTGTATAGCAGTGTAGAGGATAGAACCCAAGTGGATAGGGATCTAGAGGTATGTGAAACTTGAAAGAACATAACAGAAATTTGTTTGAGTGCATTTTTTATCGGCTTTATACGAAAGTAATAATGGTGTTGTGAATCCCTTTTGCTTAAGATTTGAATCAATCATCTCAGTTACTGATCATATAATACATAACTTATTCTGAGACTTGTGCAAATTTTGTGTACTCTAGAAATTACATGATTCCCAAGTTCCAATTAGAGACCTTCGTTTCTTTGGAGCCACTGTGGGATTTGATTCCAGGTGCTTGGGACAGTGTCGCTTTACCAACTAAGCTAGATGGCACCTCTTGTCTTCAGGAATCTCATGTGATTGACCTAGGCTACTTTTTTTTTCTCTGTGCAGAATCTAAGAAGGGAGAAAGTCCTGCGCATTTTCAAGTTAAATACTGGGCAAGATGATCATGCAATAATGTTTTTTGATGACTATCTATGCCAGGTTTGCTTACATGGTTTTCTTGATGTTTTTGGTGTGTGTTTCATCTAATTTTGATCCTTATCAAAACCTTGTAATACAGTGCATTGATGAACTTTTTTGCTGTCTGTATACATGTGTGTAGATGGAACGAGTTGTGAAAAGATTGGAAGAAAAGAAGGACAGTGATATTCTTGAAGTTTTTAAGTGGTTTAAATCACACGTCCTTGATAACAAGTTCGAACCTAGTATTGAACATCAAGAACTTGTGAGTGATTGGAATATCAGTCCACTTGGAATGTTAATTTATTTTTCTACTCTCTTTATTACATTTTCTACCCATCAAAAAGTGCTGTATATATCTACTTGGAGATGAAGGGTTTAAGGAAGTTTAATGTTTTAATGCAATTGCAATCTGACTGAAAAATGTTTTGCCAGTGTACACTATTAGCTCTTGGAGGAAAGGTGAAGGATGAACACATCTCCCTTTTAATCAATTCTGGCCTCCTTGTAAGTGGAAGTTACTCCTTAATCTATTATGTTGCTGCTGTTTTCATGATTCATTCTGGTGCATTTGGTGCCTATGTTGTTTTGTCTGCAGTGTTGGAAACTAACACCAGTACTGAATTGGTTTAGAAGATTCTTCTCTTTTATCTGTTCTTAGAGAATGAAATAACATACTTTATTACAGTTAAACTAGTAAAATAGCTTAAACTAAACAGTATTTGATTTATATATTTTCCCCTTAAGATTCCTTTCACAAACTCTTTTTCTTAATAGGGACTGTTTCCCCTCATTTCTGTTTGTTGGGTTTCTGTTGAAATTTTTTTATGGTGTCCAGCTTTCTAACTATGGCATCTACTTCTAGACTCGGCAACTTATTGACTCAAACATTTATTGGTTCGCAATTCCAAATATCGGTTCAGTACTTAAAGGCCTCTCTCAGGTAATGATCAGTTTGTCACAATATATTTTTAAACCAAATTCACATGGAATTCCTTATGCACCTTTTTCATTCTATACCTTATGTAAATAGGCTTTCGTCAGACTGGAAGTTTTCACCTTTGATACGGGGTCAACTTTGTAAACTCTTAGGCTCCTGGATTAGAGACATAGCTTTTGGCGTTCAACACAACATGAATGTGGGATGTTAGCTTTGTGATTTTGAAATCCTGCAATTATATATGTGTGTGTGTGTATGTATGTGTGTATATATATATATATATATTTGTAAGTCTTGAACAATTGAATTGTCTAAATTTAGAATAATTGTTTCCTCTTTGTTCAGGGAAGAAAGGAAGTTCTTTCTCTTCTAAACCGCAGGAGATACAAAGAAATGATGCTAGCACCTCTAGAGAAGAAGCTTCTTCGATATTCCCCACTTGATATGAGATTTCATCTTCGTGATCTGATAGGCTCAGGTCATCTCAAAACTGCCAAGACACCAACAGGCTTAGTTGTTCGAGTCTCAAAAGATTGAAACCGAGAAGAGTATTTGCTCCCCATTGATTGATGGAAAGATTGCATTTCTTCTCTTGGCTGTCAAAATAGGTACACTGACTTATGCTTTGAGGTCATCATTGCCTTATTACGCTACGTATAAATTCTCCTAGATACATGACCAGAACTTTTGCAGGCTGTCCAAAGTGGACAAGCAAAGATATCATATCAGCAAACCGGCCCAACCCAAAGCCTAAGGAGAATGGATAAAACATAACGTATCTTCTCAGCTAGGTCTTGTATAATTCATTTTTATCTACTGTTTGGCATCCATATGAATTCATTCTTAATTCAATTCTTCTGATTGGATTATCCACTTATTTATTTTTAATACGTTGTACTTGCTCAGCTTGGTTTGACATCTTCACCATTGGACTCGTGTAAACTCGGTAGGATAATGCATTACAATACATTACATTATCATTAGGTGCTCCTTTTTCTACACATCTTCAGCTTGGTTTTATCCCATAATACTAATAATTCTGTTATATCAAAGCTTTGGAGCTAAATCTTCACCAAGCCATAACCTCTTCTAATTGGTTTCTACCTGATTTTCTTTTGGGATAGGACTATGTGGGTCAGAAGACTTGTTTTAGGAAACAGGCTTTGTCAAATGATTGCTAATTTGGAACAGTTAGGTGTCTTTTGTACTTATTAACGACATATGTTTGGTGGTCAGACATAAATGATTCATGGAAACAGAAAAAACCAAGTTAGCATTTTAGTTGGTTCTTGCTTGCCTGGAGAGCATTTTCGTGCTTTTGTTGGTTAAAGTAAATGTTTGTGTCCTGATTTTGACATAAAATGAACAAGCTACAATTAACTAATCCTTTCTCGTATGTTAACATTTGTTGCTATTCTTGATGTGTGGAGAGGGTCAATTCCCTAATCTTGGTCGATAATTGTGCTTAACACTTGAAATACACGTGCTAACTCGCTATACCGTGCCCGTTCCAATGGATTCCACTCAAAATCCCCGTGCTAGTTGAAGCAAAAAAAATTAGATACACGGGACGTACTACATTGAATGCTAATAAAATTGTGGAATAACTTCTAAAATAGGATCAATCTTCATGAACCACACAAGAACTATAAGTGGTAAGCATAATTTTCCATGGACGATTGTGTGGAGAGGATTAATTTGCTTGCTTGGGTCAAGTTTAGCCTCTCCTACTCTAAACACCCAAAAGAATAAAATTGTTTAGATTCTTCTGTTCATGTATTGCTTTCAGCACTGAGAAAACAAATTGGGTAAGAATTGTCAAATTGAGATTATTTGTGGAGGGGTGCAATGTTTAATTAATTAAGTAAATTGCAGTCACGAGCAGAATTTTGGTTTTCTTGTTGCTAGGCATTTCTGTCTTTGTCAATACACGGTTTGTAACAATTATGTTTGGATTTTGGGCCATTAATTTGGACCTAATCTGCCAGAACTGATGACATGGGGAAGTTCTTTTGGAGAGATTTGGTGGTAATCTTGGACACCACTCTATCATTGTCTTCTTGTCATCTTATTTGTTCCCTTCTGTTATGAAACTAACGTCCAAGTTGAATTGCTTTGGACCACGGGTCCAAAAATCATTTACTTTTTCTCCTTGTCGACATGAGAGAGAGAGACCCGAAACTCTTAACTGTGGTTACGAAAGATAAGCGCTTTACCACTACAGCGGACAAGAAAGCTCGTAGAATGACACGTAGCGGAATGAATTATTTGAATAAACAGGTCTAGCCAAGGGAATATACCATTTTAAAGGATCGAACAAATCATTTCAGAACCTTCCCAGTTAACAATTTCAGGGTCTTCAATTCGGAGTTGGGAAATTATTAATCTGGCAAGCTTCCTCCTGGCGGCGTGTCTACAGTTCATATGCGCACCCACGATTAATCTGCTAATTAGTTTATTCAACTGCAAAACCAGTCACACAAGTAAACTAATAATGTCTGTTTTATTAATCATATTATCTAATCTGATACTTTATCTTATAAGAGCATCTCCAACCGATGTGTCAAACGTGCCACATAGACATTTAACAGCTAAAAATAACACTTTACATCACTCCAACCGACATGTCAAAGCTAATGTGGAATGAATGCTAGAGGTTGAGATGTTATTTTTGACATCCCAAAAGCAAGATGTCAAATGAATATTTTATTTATTTTTCTTTTCTTTTCTTATTAATTAAAAATGAATCAACACTAAAATGTAATAAAGTAATAATTTAATTTGACATATCGGGTGGAGTATAAAGCTATGTAAGATGTCGAATTGTCACATCAGCCATCAAATTTAAATTTGATGTTTGGTATTTGACATCTCCCTTGGAGATGCTCTAATATATATTTAAATGTCTTTGCAGAGGTTAAATGTTGGGTAGAAATAATTGTTTTGGAGATTCCAGTGCATGCATTATATGTATGTACTGTAGTAGTCTGTATCAAGGTAAGTTTGGAAACCTAGTTTGATTGAGATATTTTGGTAGATTTAGAAATAAGTCCAAAAGTGATTATATACACTGCTCCAAAAAAAAATTTAATGGTTGTGTTGGTCAACACGAATTTGACCAAAAACCAATGGGAACAGAATACATGCACTTACGTGGTTAAATTAAAATCTTGATTTGCATTAATTGGTAGGCAGAGACTTTTGGACTCGGTTATATATACAGATTAGATATAAACCTTTTCGTGAAAGTTAAGTATTACTAATAATTTACTTAGTTAATCCCTTGGTCAGATAACCAACTTTGTTTTAGAATGCTTAATTACCTTTGATTATTTTTCTTAATTACTTTCATCATTTCCTTGATCGTGATGGAAACCCAAACACGTTTTCAACATTGTCTTCTTCAACATTGTCTTGACATGTAGGGCTAGATTTCACTTTAATCTTGGTCCTCTCATTTTTTATTTTTATTTTATTTTTTCTATCCTTTGATGCTCTCTGCCTCCAATTGAGTTAATTATGTAGCTAATTTCCCTCACCATTTTTTTTAATTAAAAAAAAAACCCCTTAATTATACCACTAAACTGAAAATTGAAAATTGGTGTTGCCAATAATTACAGAGACAAACTGATGCGAAGGGACTATGCTAAATATAGAATTGATACATACAGTTGGAGTTTATACGTATGTACTTTTAAGTGTATACTGAGCCAAGCAAAATGCAACATGCATGTGACATCTGGATTTTGGTCTGCTGTCACTATTTTAGCAAAGGAACTTGTATCGAAACGGGATAGCATTGTTTTGCTATTCTCAACCAATCAAATATTGTCACATGAAAAAATTATCACATCTGTCATGTCGTGATTGCCCGAAATAGCAAAAATTATCACCTAATATTAACCCAAGAAAATACGTTCATAACATTGATATGACACAACACTCTCTATATATCTTTCCATGAAAAATCGCTTGGGCAATAATTGAGTACCTAGCTAGCAAAGAGACGCCTGGAAGTTAGCTTATAAGTACCTTTTAGAGATATTTAGTCATATACTTATTTTTAGCACTAATAATATAGATGAATCCTACACCATTTAATTTCTATAAACAAACCCAAAAGTCTTTTTGGGGTTGGATTTGTTTTAAGAAATTAATGGCAGTTTTGTAATTTAAAAAAAGTTAAAAGTCATTTTGTTATGTTGTAAATGGGTTTTGGGTGTGTTACTAAAGTCCATTTCATATATGATTTTTTTTATTATAATTTGGGCTCCTATATTGGGTATAATAGTGAATCTCCCTACTTTTTATTCCCTTGGATCATTCTTTTTCGCTTTTCAGGTTTTTCATTTGAAAAAGAAAAAACAAGCTGACTGCACTTATATAAAGCTGGAGAGATTTTTCTATGACCCGATATAAAACGTGTACAATCGCTAATACTAGTCCTAAATTATACCGAGATATTATAATAATTTGAGTGAATTCGTAACGTTACATTAGTATGTATACGTTATATACAACTGGCTTAAAATAGAAAGTTTCCGTTTTCAACGTTTAATATATGAAACTAAAGAAATCCCTAACACGACAATAATGAATAGAAGATTTATTATTACACCATCATCAGTTGGCATGAAGTCGAATATACCATCCAATCTCCAAAAAAGACGATCAGTTTGGAATCCAAAGCGCAGATAGCTAAACTAGACACATTGAAGTTCGTGTTGTTACTTTCACGTACTAGATTGGATTTGATAGCGATGCAAGTATACTCTGGCTCAGTTATCTATCCATACATATATGCAGACCAAGTGCCCACCACAAAAACTGGCTTTGGAATCATTCTGAGCAAATTATTGATTGGATTTAATCAAAGCCACAGCCATGGCTATAGCAAGGCATGAGAAGGCATATATGATATGTGGCTTCCCAGCAACCGTGCCATCTCCAAAACCCAATCAAAACTGCGAGTCTGTCTGGTTAATCATGCGATCGAACAGTACGATTGGCATGCAGTGCAGCTCTAGAACTTGAAGGCATACAAATCATTAATTATTTGCTAATGATGGGGACGAGACGAGGGTGTAGCCCACCAAACATATATAGAATCTCAGAATATTGATTGATAAATATATGGACATGATTGAAAATTAATATATATTTATCGTAATACGGCCAAGTAGTATAACTTGTTCACTTGTTATAATATAAGTGGATATTTATTGAAATATCAACCCCGTTGTCCACCCAGTATAACACGTGTACAAGTTATAACATGTGTCCGTCCGTATTTTAATACTATTCTATAATTTCTTGTGATTTGCTAATGATACTAGAGATTGATGGGCACGTGTCTCTTCGTCTCACAACAGGTAAAGTATAATCTCTAAAATCTGTAACCAAGTTAAAACGGTCATCTTAATTCATATAGGTGCTAAGTTTTTTACTTGCTTGCTCCAAAATAGTATTGGAGCTGACATGTTATGGGATCTGTAAGACGTCTAATGTCTGCCTTTAACTTAAAGATCACGGACTCTAAGGATCGGTATCACGGTGACAGCAACTGCTTTTTGCTTTCTCTCTATTATTGGAAGGTGAAAGGGGGAAAATGGGAAACAAACAATAAGTAATTTGTAAGGCCAAGTTCAAGATTGAGATGTCGATGAATTTCAAAGATTGATTTTTTTATAAACAGTGAAAAGAAGAGGCTAAAAGAAGGTTTAGTTAAACTAGAGCTTTCAACCACTAGTTACTCTCAAGCACACACACTATGCCTTGCAGATCATGGTCTAGGGTTTAAAGAGAGGGACCGGCAGGGCTTCAAAAAATCCGGATTTCCAAGGAAATAATGCATGGAGCAAGCAGCATCCACGTACTCAAATGACAAGCTGTGTGGTTTGGGTTATGTGATGTGTGTATCATTGAGATGATAATCGATGTGCGAATAATTGAAAAAAGAATGATGA